TTTAAATGATTGAATTTTAGTAGAATTTTCTAATGAAAATTGATTTAAAAATGGATTTCAGTTCAAATTTTAGATTATAATTGAATATTATAATTATAGCTGGAATTTTTAGAAATAATTAAATTTTGAAAAAGTTTCAAATTAAAATCTTTGAAAATCTGAATTTTTCTTATTTTTAACTAATAATTTTGTGGAATTAATTTTTTTTAAAAAGTTTAATTGCGGATATATTTTTGGAAATTTTTTGAAGTTTTTAGTTTCTAATATATTTTTAATTGAAGAATTTACGAATAATTGAAATTTTGTAAAATTGAATTGTATACAAATGAATTGAATTTTAAAATTAACATTTTTGATAAATTTTAATTAAATTTTTTTTATGTTCGAGCTCTGATAAACATGAAATATTATTAAAAATAATAATTGAAGCTTGGAAATATTTTTGTTTGAAAATATTGTTATTTGAAAATATTGCTATTGACAAATATTTGTGTTCGAAAATATTGCTATTGACAAATATTTCAGTTTGAAAATATTGCTATTGACAAATATTTTTGTTCGGAAATATTGCTATTGACAAATGTTTATTATAATAAAACTTTTCTTTTAAGGAACTAAATTAATGTTTAAATTAGGTTAATATAAATTCTTGTTATCTCAACTAAAATTTGTACTTGAACAGTAAATATTGATTATCGAATATGTTTGCTTTTGTTGGAAAACCCTACGTGTATCAAATGTCACTAGTCCACATGATACATTGCCCCCAGGTAAACAGATGAAAGCCACAAGATCAATTATTCTTCATGAAATAACAAAACTTAGGTTACAAATAAATTTTTTTTTCTCCACCATCTTTTTGTATGAACTTTTGACCTAATAACCATTTTTGAAAATTTTAATAATTAAAACGGAAATAATTTTTATTTTATAAAATTTGAAGTTGAACTCTTAATTTCACATCTATATTTTCGCATGGAGTCGAATAATATTTTATGAAATTTTAATATAGAGAGTGGTTATAAATTATTTCTTTCAATAATGATAAAATTTTAATTTATTTTTGAAATTTATACTATTTTATTGTTTACTGTTTTTTATAGTTTTTATTTTATAGTTTACTATTTTATACACCAAGAGAAAAAGTTTATTTGAATCAAATAATTATAATTTATTTATGTCAAATAAAAGTATATTTTTCTCAGAGCCAACTAAATTTTTTATTTGTTCTAAAATAAAAATTTTATTCGACGCAATGAAAATTTTTATTTTAATGCAAATAAAATTTATTTGAAACAAATAAAAAGACTCTGAGTCAAATATATTTTTTTCTGGTTGTACTATTTTTTGGTTTACCATTTTTGGTTTACCATTTTTGGTTTACTATTTTTGATTTACTATTTTATAATTTACTATTTTACATACCCATAGAAATGAAATAAAAAAAGAATGTTCATAATTTAGATCTTGTTGCTAGAAATGTATGGCATTTAATTTATGATGCGGTGAATACTTGAATGAGGGGGGAACATTAACAAATTGTTAAATTGTAGGCAAATTAGAATAGTAAAGTAATATCGCGTATTGACGTAAATGTAGCTATGAATACGATGCAATCGCTGGTGGTCGTTTTACCGCCAGTAACTTTGTCGCATAACACGAAGGTATTATATCACGTTTAATTATCACGAGATAGAATTTAAAGTGTATATTGTGTTCGCTTTAGAAATTAAACTTCCCGTTAAATAAACTTTTTTCTTTTAATTCACCTCAAAATATTCATTTACAAATTGTTGAATTTTTTTTTCTTCGCCCTTTTAAACTCCATATGACGATTCTGATGAAACTGAATAAAATAATTTTTTTCTGTGGAAATAAATTTTAATATTACCTATTAAAAAGAAATAATTTTTGATTGTACCTATAATGTTTCAAAACGGTTTGAACAAATATTTTTAACGCTTTTTATTATTATATGTAATAAATTACAATAATTAATTGTAATATTTCAAAGTGCTAGAGGAAACAATTTTGATAAAATTTTTTTTATATATAATAAATTCTGAATAAAAAATTGATACCTAATATTTAATTTTTAATTATAATGTTTAAAAATGAGGAAACAATTTTGATAGTGAATATTTTTTTCTTAATTGATTTGATATCAGAAGAGAAGGAGAGAGAGAGAGAAAGAGAGTAAATTGCGGGAGGTATGGGATTTTTAAATTGTACCGCGGAAATTATATAGATTTAAAATGACCAATTATGTTTTTACAATACCCGAGAACGTAGACTAATTTCCTTATCAGCAAGTTTGATATTACTTGAACCACCCGGGGCCCATTTCACAAAGCTTGAAGGCTAATATACTTGATTTATATCCTGCAAGCTCCTTTATCTAAAAACTTGCTTGACGTATATAAAATTACTTTTTTTTTCAACCCCACCAACTAGTTTGTCCCATAGAATGCATAAGTAATTGAATTTAATTTTATAAACCAGAGGATAATTGAATTTAATTTCCACACTATTATAGCCCTCGAGTTTTAAATATTTAAATTTTGTTTTTATTTTCGAATAATTAACTTGGAGTTTTCTTTTATATTTCTATTAGTAATTTTAAACTCTTAAAGCCAGAATATGGTCAATTTGCGTCAAAATTTCAATTATCTTTATAAATAATAAAATTCTACTGCAAAATTCAATTATTTTTTAAAAAATTGGAATAAAATTCTTGTCAAAATTTCAATTATTTTAAAAAAAAATCCTCAATTCAATGATTTTCAATATTTACTATTTTCATAAAATTTTCCAAACGAATTTAATTATTTAAAATTTTAAACAAAATTTTGATGAAATTCTACGCAAACATTTAATTATTTTCATAAATAATAAACATTTCACAGGAATTCAATTATTTACGAATTTTTTTTTTATAAATTTCTTCACAATAATTCCATTATCTCCATAAATAATAAAATTTTTTATAAAGATTCAATTATTTTCATAATAAATAATAAAATTTTATATAAAGAATTCAATTACTTTCATAAATAATAAAACTCATCGCAGAATTTCAATTATTTTTAATACAATTTTAATGGAATCGAAATTATTCTTAAACATATTATTTAGATTCGTCGAGAGAATTCAATAATTAGACAATTTGTTGATAAAATTCTTTATGAGAATGTAATTTTAAGAAACATTCAATTATTCAATAAATAATTTATGTTTGTAATTAAATAATTGAAATTTTGTAGAATTTTATAAATTCTAATAAAAATTGACTTAAAAATGAATTTCAGTTAAAATTTTAAATAATAATTGAATTTTAAAAGCAAATCGTGAATTTATAGAAATAATTGAATTTTTAAAAGATTTTAAATTAAAATCTTTGAATTTTTTGAGATCTTTGGAATCTCAGATTTTCAATTATTTACATTTCTTTTTATAAATTTCTTCGCAATTATTCAATTATTTTCGTAAGTAATACAATTTTTACAGGGATTCAATTATTTTCGTAAATAATAAAATTCTTTTTGGGAATTCAATTATTTTTATAAATAATAAAATTCATTGCAGAATTTCATTTATTTTTAATACAATTTTAATCGACTTTCTCGAAAAATGCAATTATTCTTAAAAATTTATATTTTATTAATAAAATTCTTTATTAGAATTCAATTTTAAGAAACATGCAATTATTCAATAAAATATTTTTTTTGTATTTAAATAATTGAATTCTAGTAGAATAATCTAATAAACATTGATTTAAAAATGGAATTCAGTTCAAATTTTAGATTATAATAGAATATTTAAAGCATTAGAGTGTGAATTTTTAGAAATAATTGAATTTTGGAAAAGTTTACAATTAAAATCTTTGAAAATCAGAATTCTTCTTATTTTTAAAACTACCAATTCTGTAGAATTATTTTTTTTAAAAGTTTAATATTTTCATAAATAATAAAAAATTTTAAAGGGATTCAATTATTTTTGTAAATATTACTTATTGTAGAATTTCAATTATTTACAATCTTTTTGATAAATTTCTTCGCAATAATTCAATTATTTTCATAAATTACAAAACTCATCGAAGAATTTTTCGAAAAATGTAATTATTCTTAAAAATTTTATTAAAATTCGTCAAAGAACTCTATCATTTAAAAATTTCTTACTAAAATTTCTTTATGGGAATTGAATTTCAGGAAACATTTAATTATTCAATAAATTATTTAATTTATTGAATTTAATTTATTTAATTTAAATAATTGGAATCTCGTAGAATTTTCTAATAAAAATTGATTTAAAAATTAATTTCAGTTAAAATTTTAGACAATAATTGAATATTATTAGCATTATAGCGTGAATTTTTAGAAATAATTGAATTTTGAAAAAGTTTCCTATTATTTCCAATTATTTATTCATAATATTTTTAAATATATAATTATTTTATACTTTTAACTAGCAATTCTGTGGAATCAATTCTTTTTAAAAAACTTTAATTATTGATATTTTAAAAGAAATTATTTGAAGTTTTTATTTTCTAATATTATAATATATTTAATTGCAGAATTTCCGATCTCTCGAAATTTTGTAAAATTAAAGTGTAAACAAATGGATTTTGAAAATTCTCAAAGAACTTTTTCTGAAATTATTAAAAATAATTGAATTAAAGATGAATTTTAATTAAAAATTCTAGAAAATAATAATCGAATTGAAAGGATGATAATAATTTTGTAAAAGTTACAATAACAATATTCTTATAATGATTTTATCACTGGGTTATAGATATATTAAAATAACTCGAAGTTAATTATACTCAAAAGTAAATGAATAAATGTTCTTGAATATTTAATTTATTGAATGTAATAATCTAATATAATTTGATTCAATTTAATTTAAATTTAAACACTTAATTATGATAATACTAATGAATAATCTGATAATAATTGAATGAAATGTAAATAAAAATTGTTTTTCATTTTCTTTTTTTTCAGAATTGGTACATGACTTGCTTCAAGCATCTGTCTCAGTTCTCGATGACAGATTTCAATATTTCGAGGAGGGCTTGGACGGTTTTCCAGCCTTCGGATTTCGTCCTGGTTCCGAAGTCAAGCAACCATACAGAATTTACCTTCCTGAGAAACTTCCGGCCGAATTCACATTGGTTGCGACTTTTAAGCCCAAGTCAACTAGGCCAAGTTATCTTTTTGCAGTTCTCAATCCCTTCGATACTGTCGTTCAGCTTGGCATACGTATTTCGGTGAGTAAAACTTTCTTTTTCTACAAAAAAAAGCGAAAAAAAATTCATCCTTGTCGCTTTTAGATTGAAAAAATTTAATTAATACAAAAAAAAATTTAACTAGTTTAATTTAATGAATAAAAAATAAAAATCGTCTTCTTTATAATTAATGAAAAATTATATTCTTTTAAAAAAAGATAATTTCTTTCTAAAAAAAAGATTTCGATTTTTTATTTATGGAAAAAAAAGCAAAGTGCCAAAGTATAAAGTTTTTCTATTTTTTATGTTACACGTATATAGTTGGAACTCGCATGAAATTCACGCTTTAAAAAAAAAGAAAGGAAATACTAATAAAAAATAGTCGTTTGTGTAAATTTTAACTTTTTTTTTCGAAATTGATGTTGAGAACATCGTCTCAGTTTATCTCTATTTCACTTCAACGCCTTCAACGAATTCTCGCGTTTGCTAACTTTGTTTACGCCTCGTTCGAACGTGTTTGGAACTAGAAATGCTTTTTGAAACACCCTTATGCAAAGGCGAACTTTACCTGCGAAGCCTTTATAGTTTCCCACGTGAGCATAGAGAGAGAGAGAGAGTGAGAGAGTGAGAGAGTGAAATTTCAGAGTTCGTCAGAATTCAATTCTTCGATTGTACAGTGACGTGATTAAAGTCAATCCACCATTGCCTATATTTATATAAAGTCTCTATTCACAAACCTTTAATAGCTTTTCAAATTTCAATCTAAATTGAAAGTCGTTAAAAAAATATCTTTCATGAAACTCAACAAAAAGTGTTTTTTTAGATTATTTTTTTATTTTAATATTTTCCTTTTCTCTTTTATTTATTAAAAAAAAAAATAAAAGGTAGAAGATAAATATTGAAAATTAACTATAAAAAACTTTGTATTTTTTCATTCATTCTGTCCGTAGTTTGAAGTTAGTTTCTGTGTATGCTTTTGTTTTTTTTTCTTTAAAAAATATTTTTTGATAAATCGAAAATATTTAGGTATTTTTTCATGATTTATAATAGAATAATATTAGAAATTAGAAAATTGAAAAAAAATTATGATTAACAAATGCTAAATATACTCATTTTGTTTATTAAATGCTTTTTTCTATAACAAATTTCCTTTGACTGATCAAAATTATGCAAATTTTTCTCCTTTTTATTTATAAAAAATGGACAATTGTGAATTGTTGAAATTTACAATTGTTTTAATAAAATTCAAAGTTTTTTTTTTAAAATAAAGGAAAAAAATGTTTATAAATTCTATTTGTCAATATTACAAATTTTAATTGAAAATAAAATTGAAATTTTTTGTAAAATTTTTTGAAAATAAAGGAAAAAATTTTACTGAGAAAAATGTTCTGTTACATTTATTTACGAATTTCTTTAATTGTAAAATTATTCGAAAACATCAATAACTTCTGTTTTAAATAAATATTTAATTATTATTATTTCTCTATAAAAATTAAGATTTTCAAAAATTTTTAATTCAAACCTTTTTTTAAATTAAACAACTTATAAAAATATAATTATAAAACATGAAGATAATTAATTATTGAATAATTTAATGTGTCTGAAAATTTAATTTTTATAAAGAATTTTATTAACAAATTTGTAAATATTTGAATTCTTTTGACGAATATTAATAAGAGATTCGATTAAAATTGTCTTAAAAGTATTTGAAATTCTGCGATGAGTTTTATTACTTATAAAAATAATTGAATTATTGCGAAGAAATTTATAAAAAAGATTGTAAAAAATTGAGTCCTGTGACATTTTTAATATTTATGAAAATAATCAAATGTATTTTTATTAAAATAGTAGATATTGAAAATTATTGAAATGAGGACAGTTTTTAAAAATAATTCAATTTTGAAGAAGAATTTTATTATTTATAAATATAAAATATTCATCTACAATTTCTGAAAATTCGAGACGCATCTCTTTCAAAATTCAATTAATTTTAAATTATTGAAGTAAAATTATTCATTAAATAATTTATAAGAAATAATTTTATGATAGTTTTTTAAGAATTAAGTTTAAAGAAAAAAAACTAGTTGTGATGAATTACTAATTAAAAGTATTAAAAATACAGATTTTCAAAGATTTAAATCTGAAACCTTTTTAAAATTCAATTATTCTTCAATATTGCTATTATTTCTGAATTCTCCAAAATTCAATTATTTTTTTAGTGTTTTTAACTAAAATTCTTTTCTAAATAAATTTTTTTTAAAAAATTTTAGAAATTTCTTCTCTAAATCAATTATTTCTAATAATTTTTGACAAAGTTGATTAAGAATCAAATTATTCAAAGAATAAAAAAAGTTCATCTAAATTAATTCTGAAATATACTTGTTTAAAATTCAATTTTTTTCAATTATTCGGAAATTCTTTGATTAAATATATGTTAAAAAATTAAAAATTCGAATAATTTAAAAGAAAAATATTATATATTTTCAAAGATATTAATTTGAAACCTTATCAAAATTCAATTACTTCTAAAAATTGCTATTATTTCTAACTTCTGCAACATTCAATTATTGTTTAGAGAATTTTTCCCTAAATTTCTTCTCTGAATCAATGCTTTTTAATAATTTTCAGAAAATTCTTCTCTGAATCAATTATTTTTAATAATATTCAGAGAATTCGCTTTTCTAAATCAACTATTTTTAATAATTAATTAAAAAAATTTAACTAACTTCAAAAAAATTTGAATTAAGGTTTTTCAAAAAACTAAGTTCAACAAAATTTCTAATTTAATTCAGTAAAAATTTAAATTTTTAAAAATTTTAAATTGAAATCTTTTGAAATTCAATTATTAATAAAAATTGTCAATGTGACTCTTACAAAATTCAATTTTCTTTTATAATTTTTATGTAAAATTATTTATCAAATAATTTATAAGTAATAATTTTTCAATTGTTTTACAAGAATTCAATTCTTTAAAATAAATTCAATTTTATATTCTACAAAGTTAAAATATTGTCAGAAATAACAAATTTAAGTTTTCTTTGATTTTTTTGTGATTTCAAATTTTATTAGTCAAACAAAATGAAACAACATTCAATTATTGTTTAGAGAATTTTTTTCTAAATTTCTTCTCTGAATCAATTCTTTTTAATAATTTTCAGAAAATTCTTCTCTTAATCAATTATTTTTAACAATATTCAGAGAATTCTTTTTTAAATCAATTATTTTTAATAATTAAGTGTAAATATTAAATAGATTCAATTAACTTAAAAATAATTTGAATTCAAAATTCAAATGTTCTAAAATTTCAAATTGAAATCTATTGAAATTAAATTATTAATAGAAATTGTCAATGTAACCCTCATAAAATTCAATTATTTTTCAAATTTTTATGTAAAATTATTTATTTAATAATTTGTAAGTAATAATTTTACAATTTTTTTTCAAGAATTCAATTTAAATAAATTCAATGTTATATTCTGCAAAGTTCAAATATTGTCAGAAATAACAAATTTAAGTTTTCTTTAATTTTTTTGTGATTTCAATGTTTATTAGCCAAACAAAATTTAATTTAAAAATATATAATTCTTTTCAATATTTGATAATTTATTTTAAAAAAGTGAGTAAGAAGTTAGCCGCGCGCGAATTGTTGCTAGTGTTTTTTTTTTTTGTTAATCATAGGCCTCGGACTCACGTGACAATTTTTTTTAACACAAAACTGCTTAGCTACAATTTTTTATAAAAATTGTGATTCTGAAATAGGTAGAAATTTTGCAAATTTTGTCCGGAAATTTAAAAAATCAGAAAAATAAATTTGGACCATTTCTCAATCACAATTTTTTAACTAACCTTCCGTTTTTTTCGTAATGAATAAAAAAATATTTGCAAATAATTACAAGTATTGAATTCTAAATGAAACTTTATAGTTGAGGATGTTTTTGATGAAGCAATAAACTAATGAGATAAGCTAACGTCTTTCATTAATATTGTGTGTGTGTATACAACGGATTTCAAAGTTGGTAACAGTGACAATGAAATCAAGCCCCTTATCATAGAGAATCACCCTAATGATTAATCTCAAGGGTAGTTAACTCCTTGTCATCAATTATGTAAACTTGTCTCCATTACATTAAAACCCAAACTACCCAGCTTGAATAACAACGCTTTGTCTTTAGGATGGACCAGCATCCAATCAAAATGTGTCCCTCGTCTACACAAATTCAGATGAACACTCACATTCCGAAGATATCGTTAAGTTTACTGTGCCAAAATTAACGAAGAAATGGTCGAAAATTGTCATCAAAGTAACAACAACCGACATCACACTCTATCTCAATTGTCATGAATTGGGGAATAAAAAAGTCATCAGGATACCGCAGGAATTGGTTTTCGACACTGCAAGCACACTCTACATTGCCCAGGCTGGACCGCATATCCAGGGAAAATACGATGTGAGTCTTTTTATATTTTTATTTCCTCTAAATTTTGACATCAAACGTTTCAATTATCTTTAGGTAAAAATAAATTTTTAGTTAAATTTCTTTTTATTTAATGATAATATATTATTTTTTTGCAATTTCCACTAAAATTGAAAACTGGAATTTCAGTTTTATGTTACATTTTTTAAATAATATTTCGAATTTTTTTCCGAAGTTTACCAGAGTCTAAGGAATTTAGATTAAAATATTGAAAGAAATATAAAGTTTCTATATTCTGGAAAAATTAATAGTTTTTTAATGATAGAAATACTAATTTGAGGCATTTTTTTCAAAAACAAAAAAATGGAATGAAGTTCGTAATTTTTTAAATTTGGGATAAATTAATATATATTTAAAGTTTGTAATAGAATAATTTAATTATTTTAATTGTTAATTTCATTGTTTTTAGTTTAAGTGGAAGTTGCGTTGAATAATAATAATTTTTTATTAATATTTCTCGAACGAGTCTCGTTGATTTCCGCATATAATTGTGGAATCTTTAAAGAAAATTGTTCGAGTGAAAAGTGAAATGAGAGTAGAAGAAAAATAGCACTCTTCGCACTCGTGTCTACTAAAACCTACTATTTACTTCTTTTTCTACGATTTTCAGTAGGAAATTTAAATACTTTATTTTGAATTGTGCCACTAAAAAAATACTTTTTTTTTAAAGTATTTTGGAGAATTTGCACAACTTTAAACCCGTTAATAGTTAAAAATGTTAAAATAAAAAAACATTTACATTCTTCGAAATGATCATATAAATTTAGAAAACACCAATTCACTTTGCTTCATTAATATAAAGAAAAATAATTTAATTTTAGAAAAATTTACAATTCAAATTATTATCAGGATAAGGAAAGAAATTAACATTCTCTCTGTAAATCAGGGAAACGCGTTATCAAATTTTTTTTGATAACCCTGAATAAAATAAGATACTTTTTTAATTTTTTACAAAATCGACTAAAACAAGCTTTTTTAGTCGTCAAATTTAATTTTTCGATAGCTACTTATTTTTTTACTTATTTTTATTTTTTACTACTTATTTTCAGTCTTGAAGCCACATTTTTCTACTTATTTTTAATTAATTAACAAGGTTGCCACATGTCAGGGAAAGCATTTTTAGTTACTTTTTAGAACTTTATTAAAAGTGATGTAAAAAAAAATTAAATTTTTAGAATTCATAAGAAAATTCTGAATTTTTGTATCTATAGAAAGCTTTGAAAATACTGAAAAGCATTAATTCAGGGTTGCCACAAGTCAGGAAATACAGAAAAAAGAAAAAAAAAGTAGAATTGGTCAGGGAAATCAGGGAAAAGTTAGAGAATTTTATTAATAGTAATGGAAAAAAATTTAATTTTTCGAATTCATAAGAAAAATCTTAATTTTTGTGTATAGAAATCTTTAAAAATATTAAAAAGAATTAATTTGTTCTTAAATTTCATTTTGTTTGGCTAATAAAATTTGAAATCACTAAAAAATCAAAGAAAACTTAAATTTGTTATTTCTGATAATATTTTAACTTTGCAGAATATAAAATTGAATTTATTTAATAGAATTGAATTCTTGAAAAACAATTGTAAAATTATTACTTATGTATTGTTTAATAAATAATTTTACTGAAAAATTATGAAAAATAATTTAATTTTGTAAGAGTTACATTGACAATTTTTATTAATAATTGAATTTCAAAAGATTGCAATTTGAAATTTTAAAAAATTTGAATTTTTACTGAATTCAATTAGAAATTTTGTTAAACTTAGTTTTTTAAAAAAACTTTAATTCAAATACTTTTGAAGTTAGCTGAATTTTTTAAATTAATTATTAAAAATAGTTGATTTAGAAAAAATTTTCTGAATATTATTAAAAATAATTGATTTAGAGAAGAATTTTCTAAAAATTATTAAAAAGAATTAATTCAGAGAAGAATTTCAGGGAAAAATTCCTATAAAAAATAGTTGAATTTTAAACAAGTGTATTTCAAAATTAATTTAGGTGAACTTTCTTTATTCATTGAATAATTGGATTCTTAAAGAACTTTGTCAAAAATTATTAAAAATAATTAATTTAGACTTTAGAGAAAAATTGTAGTTAAAAGTTTCAGAAAATTAAACTGAAATCATGAATTTATTATTTTATTAATTATTAGTGCTAATTTTCATATTAATAATTATTCTTAATTAATTATTAATTTATTTTTTATTTATTTTTTATTTATTTTTTATTTAATTTTTATTTATTTAGTATAAACGGGCTTACAAAAGTTAATAATGAATAATTTAATTAATTATTAATTACTAATTAATTACTATTGTTTATAATAATTTTGAAGAAGTTACAGTAACAATTTTAATTTTATTAATTATCAAATTTCAAAAGGAAGTTCAAAATTTTTGAACATCTAATCATTTTTAGAGTGAATCAAAATATTTTTTAGATTCAGGAAAAAAGTAAAAATTCTGTTTGAAAATCAGGGAAAAACAAAACTAAATTTTTGTGGCAACCTAAAGTTAAACCTGAAATTGTCATTTACTTGCTTTTTGGTAAAAGAATTTTGTCTTTCTGTCCTTTAAGGTTAGAAAGAAAAAATTCTTTTAAAAAAAGCAAGTAAATTAAAGGCACACTTGAATATCGAATGGAGTGGGGAGTTTTTTTTTCTTTCCCCATTTGAATGTATAGGGAAAAGAGCGGTAAAAAAATAGAAGAAAAAAAATAGTTGATCGGAAGTTAACAACGATGAGGGTTCGAAAGTCGAAAACCTTTATTTCGTAGTTGGACGAGCAGGAATTGACCTACACGTTGAATGCTTTGCAACTGGCATTTGCCAGAGGGCAGGAAACGCGATTTGGTAGAAACTTAATTCGGAGGCAACCCAGTCTCGAGTTTTCGCGGAACTCCATTACCGAAACGAACCGCTGACGATTGCATTTCCTTTCTGGGAGGGTAATATATGTACAAGGCAAAATCACGTACAATATGCTGACACATGTATTAAATTTGAATACAAAACTTTTTCTTTTTTTTTTTCTTTTTGAATTTATAATTCATCCCCTTTTTTTCCTTTGTAGAAAATAAAATTTCCCTTTTTATGAATTTTGATAAAAGTTTAAATTAAATCCAGGTAACTATTTACACACTGTAGATATAAAAGTAGTTTATTTTCTTTTTTATATATATTTAGAATATTTCTTTTTTTTCTGCGGGAATAAAGTTTAAAAGAATTTTCTCTTTTTTATATTGAATAGACGATTTTTGATGTTGACAATTAAAATTATATGAAGCTCAGCATATTTTTATGAGCATGTAACAATTTTTATTGGCTTTTAGAAAACGCGTTAAACTCGGCTTCAATGAATCTATAAAATCATTATTACGCTAGTCGAAAATTTATGATCTTTTATGGAAACGTAAATTTTACACTTTCAATTATTTATTGAAAATAATTGCTGACTAATATTTTAATGGAGCATTTTACTAAATTCTAAAAAACGAGCAAAATTGAATTATTAAAAATATTTCTACGGAGAAGTTTTATTTTTCCATGATAAAAATATTTTAACGATTTGTGAAAAATTATTTTATGATTATTTTTTTTATTGTAATTTGTTTATAAATTTGCAGATAAATATAAAGAGAAAAAAATTGCAACAAACAGGGCAATAAAATATTACTTATTATTTTCGAAGTAAATTTTATAAAAATTACTAAAAAGGTAGTTTCTCTGAATTAGGAAAAAAATTTGTTTAAAATTTAATTAAAATAATTAAAAGTAATCCTACATGTAATTATCAAAAAATTTGAAAATAATAAATTGAATGAATTTCGAGAATTTTGTCAACATTTTTTTCAATAATTAAATTCTTTCGAGTAAATGTAATTAAAATTGTATTGAAAATAATTTAATTCTTGGTAAGATTTTTATTAAAATTCTTCAAAATAATTGAATTGTTTTGAAGAATTTATTTCAATTTTCTTGCAAATAATGGAGTTTTTAAAAAATAATTTTTCCTGAAAATTTCTTTTAAGTTTTTAAAATAATCGTTTTTATTATTAATTGTAATTAATAATTTTCCTATTAACTTATATTAAAATTATTCATAGAAAATTAAATTCTTTTAAACAATTTTATTTTAATAGAGTTTTTGTAAATAATTACATTTTTTTTAAATTTCATTAAATTTCGTAAAATTAATATAATTAAAAAAAAATTTATTTGATAATTTTGAAGAGAATTGAAATTTACAAAGAATTTTATTAAAAACTTTTGAGAATAATTGAATTGTTTAGAAAAATTTTATTACAATTTTTAAAAATCATTTAACCTGTTAGGAAAATTGTATTAAAAATTTAAAATTATCTTTAATATAATTGAATTTTTTACTAGAAATTTTATTAAAATTGTATTGAAAATAATAGAATTTCGCAGAAGAATTTTATTATTTACAAAAATAATTGAATTCTTGCCAAGAATTTTCCAATTTATATAAATAATTGAATTTTTATTAAAACTCTTAAAAAATAATTGAATTTAAATAATATTTTTAAAAATAATTGTATTCTTTCAAAAATTTAATTAAAATTGTATTGAATATTTTCAATAAATATTTTCATTGTTGAGTTCCTTTGAAACATTTTATTATTTATAAAAATATTTTAATCTTGTGAAGAATTTTCCTATTTATAAAAATAATTAAATTCTTGCTGAGGATTTTACAATTCATAAAAATAATGTCATTTTAAGAAATTCGGTTTTTCGAATTTTTGATAATTTTTAATAATTTTTGATTTTTTACCAAAAAGTGGAGACTATTAAATAAGTAAAGTGTTTTTGAAGAGCACAAAAATAATGAAGCTAAATGCCATAGAAAAGGAGAAAAAATGTTGAATTTTAAAAAATTCGGTTTTTCGAATTTTTGAAAAATTTTGATAATTTTAGATTTTTTACCAAAGGGTGGAGACTATTAAATAAGTAAAGT